TGACTCCTGGAGTTATCATATGGAACAGAAAGTTCTTCATTCAGCTTTTTCCTGTAAGGAGATTCCTTAAATTTTCTGGATAACATATCAACTGACACAAATTTATACGTTTCTTTAGTTCCATGCCAGTACTGTGCTTGATCTTTTTTCGATGTAACCTGAAAACAATGAACAGATTTGGTGAGCTTCTAATTGACAGAGAAAAATATAAGGACCATTTAACAACAGCTGCTATGGACTTGCCTCCTGGAGGAAGTCAGCCACCCCTTTCCTTTCAGGACATTTGAACCCACAGCTTTCAAAAAATTCTAAAGCAGAATTTCTTGGCCCATGGTAAAGAATTTTTCCTTCAGCCATCAGGATTATATCATCAAACAGATCAAAGGTCTCTGGTGCTGGTTGAAGAAGCGACACAAGTATAGTTGCATCTGTAATATGTGCCAGCTGCTGAAGGCAAGCAACAATCTGGTATGTAGTCGAGCTATCTAAGCCATTCGATATTTCATCCATAAACAATGCTTTTATGGGGCCAACAATCAGCTCGCCTAAGTCACACAAATAGTTGGTTCCTTTATACTTGTTTTGCAAATGGTATCAAGTACATTAGCCTACTTAATGGAAATACAAACTGACAGCATTGTTACAAAGCAGATCGTGGTTTAAAATTACCTGTTGTCAGTCTTTTCTTTTGACCACCCGAGATACCTCTTCTCATGGCATCACCAACCAATGTGTCAGCACAAATATCAAGTCCAAGAATCTGAACACAGTGACAAGAATATGGCAATCATTAACTTCTATTCCGATTGCTAACAAAGGATTAAGAAAGAGGGTACTTCAATAAAGTTACCTTCAGAATATAATCCGTCTGAAGGTTTTTCTTTTGTCCTTCAATAGATATCGCCTATATGATGAAATTTGATTTAGAAGGTTAAAATCAATTACAACATTGATTGCAGAGGAATGCAAAAATGATTTCCAGGCATTTTACTTGAACAAAGAAGCAGGAAGCACACTGTGATAAAAATGGTATAATCTTGTCCGATAGATACATCAAGCAATCCTTATAGCTCAACAAAGATGAAATGAAAACAACTTGATGTTAAAACTACCTTCATGTAAGTGTCTATATCTGGATCAGGAACAACTCCTGCTTCTTTCTCCCTTCTGCTTAGGTCAGTCATAATCTCTTCAAAAGGAAAGGCATAGCTTTAGAAACAGTGCTGGAACATTCATCTCTGCAGTTTATCTTTTATGTGCAGAAAGGCATACCTGCTCTGCTTCCTACTCCTTGAAAACGAGATGAATAATCTAGTGTTTCTCTAACAGTCATTTCAGGGATGTGTAGATCATTTTGGCTTACATATGCAGAAGTTTTCTGTGGGACAAACTCTTCCAATTTATAACCATTGTAAGAAATCTCCCCAGAAACCTGTTAGACATGGCCAGAAGCAGACACAAAAGATCGACATTAGCTCCATATATTCTGAACTCCATCCATACCATGAATTCAACATCACTCTTGTTCAAGTGAAGGTGCAAAAATTAGTGCAATTGCTCAATAGTTTCTTCTTGGAGGAGGGGTTGGTGAAGTCAATAAAGCTTCTGCTCTCTTGGTGAAATGGGAGAAAGATAGCAATTAAGTGTTCCCTAGCTGAGATCTTAAAGATATAAAGGAACTAAAAGTGGCTAAGACAACAACAACAACAACAACCCAGTATAATCCCACTAGTGGGGTATGGGGAGGGTAGTGTGTACGCAGACCTTACCTCTACCCTGGGGTAGAGAGGCTGTTTCCGATAGACCCTCAGCTCTCTCCCTCCAAGCACTCCCCACCTTGCTCTTGGGGTGACTCGAACTCACAACCTCTTGGTTGGAAGTGGAGGGTGCTTACCACTAGAGCAACCCACTAATAAAACAATTCCTACAAAAGAAGACCTATTAATTCTCATCCAGTATGTTGTAGATCAAAGTAGTTGCTTCATATCAGCTGACGGGTTATTTTAAGAAAGTATTCCTATATTTTTCTCTTGCCGACATTAAAACAAAAACAACTTTAATCTTTTCTGACATTAAGAGCAAAACAACTTGAAGAGACCTTAAGAGATTTGTCCAGGTTTCCTGAAAGTGCTTTCAGTAGTGATGTTTTGCCGCATCCAGGAGGTCCAAGCAATAGAGTCATTCTGTAAAAATAGCAAATGTCTTAAGTAAATTCTAAGTGTCCGGTTCAAGAACTCACATTTTAAAACAATGACTTCAAAATGAAGAACTAACTGTCCATATCAGAACATGCTGGAGGGAGAAACTACTAAAAGGTAGACTGAAATTAGCAATAAAAAGTAAGCTGCACCAAGCTTCACATCACAAGATTATCGTGAATGCAAGACCAGTTCTGACACTTACCCAAATAAAAACCACTTCACAACAAATGTACTTCAAAAGAACCTCTTGCAAGTTTATGCATATGATAATGTAATCACTAACTAATCACTTGCATTAATGCTAGTCAACTAATTTTCTTCAGAACAATACTATGCGACAAGTATATTATTCATCTCTCAGTTGCAACTATCAAATTGATTGAGAACATTAATCAACCAAACGGTTCCAGTGTCTGGAGGTTTGTACTGCGTACACAATGCACATTATGTTCCCAAGGTAAATACATGATTGAGAGGCCGAATGCTTTTTTGGTTCACATAACTGGTTCTCTTACGTGCTGTCAAAACATGGCCATTACTGAATAGGGCTATGTAAAATATCAAACAACAAATAAAAACAAGGATGACTAGTTCACAAGCATTTTCACCAAAAACTGAGCTTAATACAACCAACACAGATTCTGCTGTTGTTATTCTTGTTCAATCAACGAGCGAGGATTGATGAGACACTAACTGCACCAGATACGAGATGAGAATCACTGACAGTGTAAAAACAATGACCAGAAAAAGGTCTGTCTCCCGCAAGTCGGAAACTAGAAATCCAAGTTGTTGGCGTACTTATAGTGAATTACATTGGCATAACTATTTAAAGTGAGCATATGCGATGGAGGAGCTTCGGGCGACATACCGTCCAGGTTTTATTACACCACTGACATCATTAAGGATTTTAATCTTGGCCAGTTCTGACTGTAGACCTGGAAGCCTAGCAAGGTTCTGTTGAACAAATTAAATCACTAGATTTAGAAACCTGTAGAATCACAAGTAGCAAAATAGAATAACCTAATGCTGGAGCTTGCACCTTATGCTATACATTTAACATTTGAGCTCTGAAACCAGGATCACTATGAAGATGCTCATCAATTCTCTCTTACTTTTTCTAACAGAATTGGTTGCAATGCATCAGAAAAATAACTTATTGTTGTCACATATAGGTAAAATGACCTAATGGAAAATACTATTAAAATTAGATAACCCGAATATCGAACTGGATATATTAGCACAAGAAAGATTCAACTATTTCCAGCTAATAATGGTTCAATTAATCACGTCTTCTCCTAGTCGAAGTCCTAATAAATGCCTCCTGATTATCAATTTTTAAATCCAGCATTAAACAGCTGCTACTTTAGTTTGAACTAGCACACATGTAAGAGATCAAATTGATGAAAATATAAATGGTGCTCAATCAAATGGAAAAAACTTACCATCGTTATGCTTTTGAGAGAATTCCAAAGTGTAGGGAGAGGCTTTCCATGAACTAGCTCACATTCTGCTTCAATGGTTAAATTTTTATATCTCACTTCCACTGTAGGCAATTCTACACCAACTCTACAAGAGTCAAAAACATTTTCAGTTCGTTGAATTAAGTCTAACAGATAAACCTTTGATAATATGAGAAGACAAACTATGAGACATACAAATAATGATGATCATAAATTAGCATTATCAATCACCAAAAAGATGGCAATTCAAAAGCAAGAGCAATGACCTTTCGATGTCTTTTACAGCCAAGTTATGTAACAGAAATCTTACTTGTCAATTCTCTTTCTGATTTTGTGCAACAATTGAAGGTTGTCATGTTCAATGTGCTTAATCATCTTTTCAATGAAAACATGCCTTTCTAGAGCTCCGAGCTTGGTAACATCAGTTACTCTTTTCCTCTTAACATTGGCGTCGTTGCCATTGATTTCCTCAAAGAGAGATGATCTCAACCTATCAAATGTTGGCAGTCTCTCAATTGCTGCCCAGGCCAACATGTTCTCCTCATCTACAGCGTCGTCCTTCTGAGAAGCACTCAAGGCTGAATTGCTCCTGAAACTCGAAGACTGGCCCCTAAATGATGATCTCAAGCTTCTTCCAATCTCTGCGAGATCCATTCTAAATGACTCTATTTCATCTGAACCAACCAACTGAGCCATTTTTGGTGTAAAATATTTTCCGCTCCAAAGCTGTATTTATAGGGAGAAAACAAAGAGGGGTGCACCGTGCATGTCTAACATAAAATATTCTTGCTTGCTTGAACAGCTAAATTTAGACCGTAACATAGATGAGGTAAGGAAATACATCATTCATTTTTTTTATGAATAAAAGCATTCTTGATTTCTTTATATAGATAACGTAAATTAAAGAGACATACCTAGAGAGTAAACAGATGTTTACAGTTGATAATAAATGAAATAAGGCTTGTTTATGGAGAATAACAAAAGAAAAATCTTTGAATAAACAAAAGAGTGCTGCACATTTCTCTAACTCCTCAAGGGACAGAGTCAGTTGACTTTCCTAGGAGGACAAAAAAGAAATGATTATTCTAAGGTTCTGACATGTAAGTTCATAAGTTCCAAAGTTCAAAGACTTAAACTAGGAGCTAGGGTCTTCCTTTATCTACAATAGAGCTTCATTATAGCTGGGTCATGCCCGTTACTGCTTTGTTTATGGCATGTATTATAATATTCCAACTATTCTTTGTAGTTGGCGGGAGGTGGGTGGGGGAGGGTGAGTTCTGTATGTCAGCTCTTGTAAAGGCGTGAGACATCCCAGCTAAATAGAAGGTCCCCAGGAAGATGAATATTACAGTACTACAACACAGCAAAACTATATTAGTATCAATCAAATGAACATTTATCAGTGAAAGAACAGTCAACTACTACATAATCTAAGTAAGGCCTGATCAATTGCCATCTGCATAATTAATCATTAGTATTTGCTAGCTCTATTGGTCCAATTCATTCCAATACTAAATAATGCTATGTTTTACGTCAAATTAAGGATGGGTTACGTACCTAAATATCATAATTATTCATCAACCTACATGTCTAGAGCTAGAATAAAGAATGGCTCAAATGGTCCCATAAGTTTATGGGTTGGACTATTTTAGTCCTTCAAATTTGTTACTGAACATTACAAGTCCTTTAAGTTTGCAATTTCTTTTTCCAAATCATTGGTCTTAGCGGAGACAAAATAATGTTTAACATCGGACCAAGAAAAAATCTAACCTTCTTCTCCCTGGTTTTTCACTTGTAACTAAATTCCCGGAACATACAGCAACAACAACAACAACAACAGCAACCCAGTAAAATCACACTAATAGGGTCTGGGAGGGTAATGTGTACGCAGACTTTACCCCTACCCGAAGGAGTAGATAGACTATTTTTGAAGAGACTATTTTCGAAAGACCCTCGGCTCAAAAAAATAAAAAGACAAAAGGACAAAAAGGAACACAATATTAATATCACAACAACATAAATTCCCGAAACATATATTAATTGAAATTCCCAGAACATAAATTAGACCCAATGACGTGGACAGAAATATTTTAATAGCAGCAAAAAGCTCAAAACTTTGGCTTGATACTCACATGGCAGCCCTAACCCTTGTGGGTAGAAGATTTCTGATAGTTCCATAGCCAATCAAATCGTATAAGGAGGCACCATTTTAAGTAGTAGTAGTAGTAGTAATAGTAGTAGACATTTGGTGTCTTCACCAACTTGGGAGAAGAAAATCTCCATCTTCATTATTGTATCATTGCTCTCCACTTTAGCTGTAGACAGACGAAATAGGGTAAGCCACGTACACCAAACTCTCCAGGATATTCCGATACTTGCCTCGGTAATTTTCTCTTTGGAGCTGCAAATCATGTGATACCAACACGAATCATAAGGGAAACAAGATAGGGGATTTTCCTGATGCGAATTGCAAAGATGGAGCTTTGTTGAGCTCGTGATGAAGGAGCATTGAGTTTTTCCATCCTTTTTTCCCTTTGTCTTTTACTGATGCTTCAATCAGCAAATTAGTGCTGAATCCATTAGACTTATCTAGTTTTATACGCACTTCTGTTCTTAAAAGAGATTTGTGACAGACGGATGACTAAATTTTAAACACTTGAGCAAAATTTCGGGTATGCTTTAAATAGCAGTCCTAAAAGCGAATATTTGTGCACTTCGCCCTCTTGACCACCACACTGATTATGACTATACCATAACCTTGTTCGCCACCAGTTTAATGTACAAAAAGAACTAAAGAAGCAGGGATGTTATTTAATTTGGAATACAAATGAATAGGCTGCAACACCACCTCCTTTGGAAGTTCAACTTCCCAACGAAAAATGCAAATAGACTAGGGGGTACGTAATCAAAACAACAGCTACTACAATAGGTAATTGATTGTGGTGAAATCCGAAATATATAGTCCCCAAGAAAGGCTGCTACTGATTTCTTTTCTTGAAACACGGTAATCTCCTTTTCTATATCTCCATACTGTGAAGCAAGCATTCCATGATGTAGGTGTTAAGATAATAGAAACAGATCTACCATTTTGGGATTTGCTGCAATATTGAAATGTAAAAGCATATGTAGAAAGAGGTAATTGCAGTTGTCTCATTGATTTCTAGATTAAAGTGGCTTAAATTCTGAACCACTTAACAACCTTTGGCATCAAGAATCCAGCAAATTAAAGAGGTTGAACAATACATAAAAGGCTGACTGAAGAATTGCAGCTACTGGAAAGCTTGGCATCATTGAAACAAGCATCATTCCCATGTAAGTGAAGTACAAGAGTGTGCAAACCAGAAAACCTTGTAGGCTGACCCATAATATCCAATCATCGGATATGTGATGACAGTAAATACAAGAGTTTGGGCTAAGAGATATGGCAATTCAATTGCCACCTACAAAATCAGGTAAGTGGAATCAACTAAAATATGAACCGGTGAACAGTGAACTGTTAAAAAATAAAATTTGGACTTAATTCAACCCCAAAAGTCAACTCATGAATTGAAGATTATCCAAGACCATGTAATGAATTGGTCGGAAAAAGGGAGGTAGGGCTCCTATTGACTAAAGGTTGGTTCTTCCCTTGCACCTGAAATAGGAAAAATGCTGATCCAGAAGAATGGTCTGGGCTTTTGAAAAGATGACACAACAGTCCATTCCCTTAATTAATCTGGGGTACTCTAACACCATCCCGCACGCCCACACATAAACAACTAAAACATGGATAATGGGAGCCCAATACAATGCTCAGTTGTTAACTGGAACCCCTGCTAACTTTCAAGTGTACGCTGCTTTATTTAAGCCTCATGCAAATTGTACAGCAAATTATCTCGTTGCTAGGGTAAGTGCTTGTGATCGCCTCTATAATTATGCATGTACCCGCAAACTATGTAACAAGCAAGAAATTGTTCTCTTGGGGGACATGGCACATATCAGTGGCTTGGTTGCTATTGGGGTCATATATTCTCCTTTCAAATGCGCAATTGTTTTTACATGTGCTACACCATTTATGGGTGCAAACGTTTACACTCCATTTGTGTTAGAAAAAGATCTTATTTGCCTATGAGGGGTTTGATAATGAGCAGAACATATTTCTTGTTGTTTCCATATCGGTCGTTGTTGCAAGAAGTATACTGGATCACATGCGATTCTTTGGCAACTTCGGACATTGTGGTTGGGTTGCAATTGGCGGTCATGCTTCTAACACTATTCTTGACTCGAACCTTGAGGACAAGTTCTCATTGAGGACATGAGTATTGTTATGAATAAGGCTCAGCCCAATGTCACACAGATAATTATTGGGGTGAGAAGAGCTATTGGACCGAAAACAAGCAATATGGCCAAATTGATTTGGGATCCAGGTTGAGTATTGGCGCAAAGAAGTTTTTGTTAAAAAGGGATAGTAGTCGGTTATTTTGGAGATTATGCATATTGCTGAGAAAAGTGTTTGCTTCTCCTCGTCTTCCATTCTCTAAGTCTAACCTTCTCAATGTCTCATCCCCATCTTCTATATATCCCTAGTTACTTTACTTCCAATTTCTATTGTAATTCTGTTACTAAATTGTTGCATTTTGATATTTGAGTTGTAATCACATTTCTGTCTTATAGATAGATTCAGTTACTGTTACTCTGAATTTGAGTTAATTGCAATGTGTCATGGAACCTCCTTTTTTATTTGTTGCTTTCAATCTCACCTCATTCATTTGTATATATATTTTTCTGTGGTTGGTGAAATGATATTTTCTTGTTGATGAGTCTACGTTATGGTTTATGCAACTGAATGTGTTCGATTCCTTTTGTGCTAATCCTTTCCTTTTCCCCCCTGTAATTCCTTGAGTAAATTGTATCGTTTTGTATAAAATATATATAAATTCAAGTCATACTTTCTGGTCCTATATATTTCTTGAAATGTGCCTTTTTGTACTTTAGTCTATAGATTTCATTCGTTTTCAAATTTAAATGGGCATATTAGAGATTAGAAGTAGATTTTGAAGTTAATTGATGAGCTTTATTCTCTCACAAAAAGAAAAAGATAATAAGACGTGTTACTCCCGTAAATTAAGGAATTTAAATTTTATGCACAGATAATGCCAAAAAAATTTATATAATCAAGTTATAATATGGTGAGTGCAAGTAAATTGTTATGATAAGTATTAGATGGTAACTTAATAAAAATGGTATCTAAGGTACTATAATATGTTAAAACTATATATAAATAATTAAAATGCATTTTGCTCATTTATTTATTTTTCATTAGTCTTTCTTACTCTTGTTTATTCACAAGTAGAATACCGTCTATATTTGAACCAAAAAAAAATAAAAAAAATACCGTCTATACAGTACGACTTTAAGGCATGACGCAAAATGTTGGTATTTAATAATGCCGCATCTTTGGGTAAACCTAGCAAACAATTTGAAATTAATGAAGTCAATATTTGCAACAAGAATATCTATGTTATATTTTGGGAGTTAAAAAGAAAGAATAAATCTAAATATTCTATTCATATTCATCGTTTCTCACAGTCACAGTCAACATTTTGGGTGTGTTTGGTATGAAAGGAAAATGTTTTCCCCAAAAATGATTGGTTTTATCACTTGTTTTTCCTTGTTTGTCGTGGGTAAAAACTTTGTCCGAAAAATATTTTCTAGTATTTGGTTAGAGAGCATAAAATATTTTTAGAAAAATATTTTTTTATGCATGTTTCATGTGCTCCTCCCTCCCCCCCCCCCCCCCC